AGCGGTTTCATGTAGATGTTAAAAAGCATGGAAGACAGAATGGAGCCTTGCAGGTCAGGGGTCCGAGCAGGCGTCTCCCAGCTTCACCATCTGGGATCGACCCTCCAGGAAGGATTGGAGCCACGACAGAACCGTGCCCCCGAGACCCATCCCAGAGAGTCGACCCAGAAGGATACCATGATCGATGGTATCGAAAGCCGCTGAGATGTCCAAGAGAACCAGCAGAGTCACACTCCCCCTGTCCAGCTCTCTACGGAGGTCATCCACCAAGGCGACCAAGGCTGTCTCGGTGCCGTGACCAGGCCTGAAACCAGACTGTGACTGATCTAGGTAGTTGATGTCATCCAAAAAGCCCTGGAGCTGGGAGGCGACCACCCGCTCCAGCACCTTACCCAAAAAAGGGAGGTTGGAGATCGGTCTGTAATTGTTCAGCACCGTGGAGTCAAGGGAAGCCTTTTTGAGGAGTGGCCGAACCACAGCTTGCTTCAAATTAGATGGAAAAATCCCCTGCTCCAACGATGCATTAATGATCAACACAAACCAATCAACCAACCCCTCCTTGGCCGATTTAATTAGCCAAGATGGGCAAGGGTCTAGAGGCGAAGTGGTCGCCCTCACAGCTCCAAGGACCTCTTCCACAGTCTCAGGAAGAACAAGCCTAAAAGAATCCCACAAAATTGGCCTCAATCACCTCATCTGGTACTGTGATGAAATTGGAGTCGAGCTCGAGACATACCTGAGCAACTTTGCCTGCAAAATGGTGTGCGAACTCGCAACACTGAGTTGTTGGGTCGTCAAAGGTCTCCTCCACCACAGGTGGATGAAGGAGTTCCCCAACAACCCGAAATAGCTCCGATGATCTATTTGCTGCAGACGCTAAATGGGTGGTCATGAAAGATTCCCTGGCCACCTGAATAGCCATGGAGTATGCCTTAAGAGAGGCTTTAGCCCGTGCTTGGTCAGACACGTCCCGGGATTTCCTCCAAATGCGCTCTAGCCCCCTTCTAACACTAAATAAAGACAGGGGAGCTCCAGACAAGAAACTATCAGGGACAGCTAACTGCTGCTCAACAAAGGATGCCCCCAGGCAGTAAGAAGCCACACCTTGAAAACTGAGAGGCCATCAAATGCTAATCATGGTGGCCAATTGAAACATTCACACCTACTTCCTACATACAAGAGTTCTTTCTCCCACCCTGGACATTACACAGATATATAAACACAATTTCCTAGTTTCCAACAGACCTCACAACCTCTGAGGATGCCTGCCATAGATGCAGGCGAAGCGTCAGGAGAGAATGCTTCTGGAACATGGCCATACAGACAGAAAAACTTACAGCAACCCAGTATCTGAAGGAGTGGAGAAGGGCCACTGATGAATCCATTAACACCAGATTTCCAATTCCCACCAACTCGATCTCAAACTCTGGCACTATTATTACTTCTATCCTACTGAGCGGAGACTTATGAATGCCCAATATAACTATGTCAATTTTGTTCCAACTTGGGATCTGTCTCAGCAAAGTTAACTTTGACCTTGTGAAGCTGCCTGTTCCACTCCATTTTTGAAAGGTCTTTTTATATATTACACACCGATTCTCATCACAAGTAGCTGAAATAGCCTCCCAGTGACCGTTTATATTTTATATTGTCTGAAAGGAACCCAGCTATAGTTCATAAAACAAAGCAGGCTCCTCACCCAGCCTTGCCACAGACTAAACACAATGGAGCAGGGCAATAAAGCTCCTGTGTTTGTCTTAGCAACAGACGATGGGAAAGGCTTCCCTCAGGACAGGGAGGCAGATTTCCCTCTGTTGAGAAAGAGCATCGCCAGACTTCTAACTTTGGCTTGGTTCCATTTTCCCTGGAGGGAATGCTTTGCTTGTAATTGCCCTCCAAACCTGACACTCCAGTTGTGTTTGTCACACACCTATAAACTAGGGAGTCCTTATTGCTATGATGAAACTGCTGACTGTGGAGCTCTCTTGTGCTTGTATTCTACCTAATCCACTGGATTAGAGCATCTCAGGGCAGGGATTTTTGAAGAATAATTCGGTACTGGAATGCAAAATGAAGAAAGGGAGGAAAATATATATTTGTGAAGCACTTCCCATTAGTTTTTGCTAAAAACAAAGATAGGAGCTTTGTTGCTTTAAAGTAAAGGTAAAGGTTGTCCCCTGACATTAAGTCCAGCCGTGTCAAACTGTGGAGGTTGGTGTTCACCTCCATTTCCAAGCTGAAAAGCCGGCGTTGTCCGCAGACACCTCCGAAGTCATGTGGCCGGCTTGACTGCATGGAGCGCCATTACCTCCCGCTGATCTACTTTGTTGCTTTGCTCCACTGTATTACGTCTGCAGATAGTTAATATTCCCTCCTCATTTTGTAGTGCCACTAGAAGACTAAGTAGCAACCTGGATAGATTTTCACACCATCATCCACTTTCATACATGGTCACCCCACCCAACTACTGGTCTCTGCATTGCTGGCAAGAGCCATCTTAAAATAAGGAGTGGCACACAATCGCTAGCCTCTTCCCGAAGGATTTCACAACCAGTCAGGGTGGCAATAATAAAAAGCAAATTAAGGTTAAATGATAAAAAGAAGTTAAAAGAAACAACCAGCATACCTCTTGGAAACATTACTGGTTTCTATGACCCTCCTCATTATCTTTTTCCCAGAGTCATTCTTCTGGAAAATCATTCTGACAATACAATTAAAGTATCGTCATGCATGCTTAGAAAGTGATGCATTTTCTAGATTTTCTGCAAAATAAACCTATCTGGACAAGCAAATAATGCTGTCCAGAGTTATTACAGAGGCCTTCCTGCTCTGAAGCATCTCAGTGGCCAGTATTTATCCTCAGCATTGACTTCTTCTTCCACATATCCAAAATCAAAGCCTTCAAACATAAACGTGAGCATGTAAGAGCCATATTGGAGCAAAACCAAAGGACAACCTTTGTACAGCATACAGTGATAAATGAGCTGCTTAAGGGAACGCTACAAGCTGGGACTGGGTTCAATCAGCCTTCCCTTCACATTCTTTTTATTGTGAACATGGCAGTTACTGACTGCTTTAGCCTCCCGAAATCTGTCCAACCCCTTTCAAAGCTGTCAAAACTGGCAGATATTCCTACACCCTGGTACAATAACTTTCACAGTACAACTATATGTTGCACAAGAAAGTACTTCCTGTTATCTAGAAGTAGTTTGATAACTTCTTGTTATCAAGAAGTACACCTGGTGTCCAATTCTGGGCACCGCAATGGATGGGAGATGTTGACAAGTTGGAATGATTTCAGAGGAGGACGACTAAAATGATCAAGGGTCTAGGGAACAAGCCCTATGAGGAGCAGCTTAAAGAGCTGGGCATGTTTAGCCTTCAGAAGAGAACGATGAGAGGAGACATTATGGCCATGTATAAATATGTGAAGAGAAGTCATAGGGAGGAGGGAGCAAGCTTGTTTTCTGCTGCCCTGGAGACTAGGATGTGGAACAATGGCTTCAAACTACAGGAAAAGCGATTCCACCTGAACATTAGGAAGAACTTCCTGACTGTGAGAGATGTTCAGCAGTGGAACTCTCTGCCCCTGAGTGTGGTGGAGGCTTTTAAACAGAGGCTGGATGGCTACCTGTTGGGGGTGCTTTCAATGCAATTTTCCTGCTTCTTGGCGGGAGGTTGGACTGGATGGCCCACAAGGTCTCTTCCAACTCTATAATTCTATCTGTCTTGAATTTTTCCCCATTCTGTTTTAGATGATCCTAGGTTTTAATCTTACAAGACCAGGAGAAAAAGTCCCCACAGTGTGCACAATTTCTTTTATTCATCTTTTTTTGTAAGTAAAACAGCCTCAAATACTGCAAACTTTCTACATAGTGGAATTGTTCCAGTCACTTGATCACTTCAGTTCAGTTCTCTGCACGTTTTCCAGAACATACTGCATTCCAAATGCGTCTGCATGTACAGATACAGATATAGGTATAGGTATAGATACAGATATCTGAACAAACCTCACTTCTAAAAATGACTAAGAAACAACTTGATGGCAACAAATATAATGGAAATAAAATAATGTCAAATTTCCATTTTTTACTTGTTTTCTGATTATGCCCATAATGGAATTTGCCTTTGTTTTACAGCCATCCCATATTGGGCTGACATTTCATCAAGCTATCTACCACAGAACAAAAATCCCTCCATGTTTGTGAATAAAATATTTGCAGATTAAGTTATTCATAACATGCTGTATTGGCCACCACCTCCATGGCTGCCCTACATGCAACTGAAAAACATATGTTTTCTCTATGCATTTGTAGGTTCTCCAACACAATTGTACAATCAGCTTCCACCAGCTAACCATATAATCATGTAGGTGGTGCTGCAAAAGCCTAAAGGAGTGTTCTCTCAGGTTGAAAAAATGTGGGCTTAATAGTTGTGATTTTCCCCCCACATTTGAGGCAGTCCTGCACACCAAGCTTTAAAAAATGTAGAAGTCTGGTTGCATGTGAATTTAGTACCTCCCGCATCTTAAATACGCACAGCTTTACATTTACTTAAACTCTAAACCTCATTTGCAAGTTAAAGTTAATTCTCTCATTTTGGAAAGCTCCTTTTGAAGTTCTTAGCAAGCTATTTTTGTTTTAATAATTCATCTGCAAATTTTACCTCATCCATCTTTCTAGGTCCCCCATATAAAAGTTTAAAAGTACTGATCCAAATATTGTTCCCTAGAGGAACCCACTGCTCACATGTCTCCATTATGAGTACTGTCCATCTATTTACACTTCTATTTTCTGTTCTTGAGTCTGTTATTAATTCATAAAAGGACTTTTCCCGTTATTCGATGACCACAAAATGGACATGTCTAGGTGAAACAACTCCCACATAAACAAACAGAAGCTCTAGCTATGGGGCAGAGCAGCCACTCTGATAAAACCCTTGGTTTTATCAAACATGAAACAAAGAAGAAGAAAAGACAGAGACGCATAGAACAGACTTACCGAGTTTATGCAACCCAACTCCTTGTTCAGAAGCCAGGGCAAAGAAAGCTTCCCCTCTCCACGGTAGCAAGACTGGATGCGCTCCTTGATTTTGTCTTTGATCTTTTTCAATGTGAACAGACAAAGTACAGACTCCTTTGGTGGCTTGACTCTGTTCTTCTGGCCCTGGGAAAATACTGTGAATAGGATATCCTCATCCTCCGAGATGCCCAGTTGCCTGGCCAGAGCCTTTCCCGGCTTACTGAGATAAGCATCCTGAATCAGGCGGTATTCGGTGCCATCTCTAACACATCCAATGGGAAATTCCACATAGGAGTAGAATTTGGGGTCATCCACACACAAGCGAACCACCTTGGAAGTGAAGAATTGCTCCCCAGTAGAGTCAGGTGAAGTAAGCTGGGTGTCCAGTTGCAAGGTCAGATAGTAGACAAACTGCTCACTGCTGAAACTGTAGATGTAGTAGATATCGAATGTGGGAAACTTGGAGAGAGTATCTGATGGTATCTTCAACTGAGAAGAGACAAACTCATCCTGATATACAAAGCCAAACATCTCTGCATTTTCTTCACTGTCCATCAACTTACGGCTGGACAGGGTAGGGAAGTACTCAGACTTGCCATCAATGGGTGTCCCAATGAAGAGCTTGTTCTGCCCATTCTGTACTTCAATTATGACTCCTGACATAGTTCCTGACTCATTGACACTGGAGAGGTAGTGCTCCTTGCGATGGTGAGGCTCACCCAACTTGAAAAGGTCATCCAAGCGTAGGAATTGGCAAATGCCCTGAGAAGCACTGCCACAGGCTATCAGCCTGTTGCCAGAATAATCCACCAGCAGCAACTTATTGACATTGTTGGTAGAGACCAGTCCATGTGGGCACGACTGCACACTCGGGGGTGGATAGCACTTTTCATTGTCATCCACTGGTCCTGTCACATGAGTGCGCATCAGTGTCAGATTGCTTGCAAGCTTATAGATCCGGTTGATAGCACCCACATACACCTCCCCAGTTTTGTTATGGACCACCAAGTGCGTCAAACTCCAGTCTGTGACCTGGAAAGTCCTAAAGGGAGAGGATGACTTGAGAGTACCTTCTGCCAATGGCAGCCAAGCATTCCCCAGAAGCACCAGGGTCCAAATGCTGATTGACAAATGGGGCTTTTGCCTCAGGAGCCACATGGCAGAGCAGTCACATCCAACAAAGGCTGTGCATTAACATAAAGTCAAAATAAATAGAAGGAAACAAAAAACAACAGAGGAGGGTTTCCGTAAGCTAATGTCTCCTTTTTTTTCCACCAGTCTCCACATTCAGGACATCGTGAATGCAAGCCTCTTCCTCAGCTCTAAAAGGAAATACAAAACAAACAGGGTTAGGCAATCGGTTGTGTCACTCAGAACACTAGAGCACAATAGAAGCTCAGAGTTACAAATATCTCAGGAATGAAGGTATTTCTCTGAAATGCTCAGCTGTCTAAGGAAAAACACTGCACAGAATTTGCTAATCATTCTACATTCTTTTGATTAAAGTTCCCATGACCATTTTGTGTGTTCACTACAGAAAATAATTGCTAAATTGTTCTTGAATCTAGAGAGGGCTGGTTACTTTGCATTTGTCTCCAAATCTTCCATATTTTATGTGTGCCTCAGAAAGCATGAACTCATGATATGAAGAGAGCATTATACCTTTTGAGGAAAAACTCAAACCAGTCGAAAGAAGGTGAGGACTGAAGAACTGGGAATGACTTTAAAAACAACTTAAATGACAGGGATTAGATCTTTTATAACCCCTATTTTAGCATTTTCCTTCCTTGCCTAGAAGATTTGTCTTCCTAGTTTCCTTTGCTGTATAAAACAAGACATGTGTAGTATTTTCTTGAAGACAGGCCTGTCATTGTATAGATTGATATCTGGGGAGAAAATACCTTTCTCTGATATCACTCTTATTTGTTTCTCCAGAGTTTTGAAATGGAGAAAGGGAACAACACCAATTTCTTTGTCAAAAATACTTAAATATCTCTATATACTTTTGAGTGAAAGAATAATGGAAGAAAATCTATAAAGCTTTAACTGCTCTTAAGGAAAAGCCTGATTTCCTTTAAAATGTTTAAAATAGCCTTAGATTACAGGTTACAGAGTGCAATATTATACATAGTTACTTAGAAATAAATAAATAAATACCTAGCGGTGGGTAGAGTGTCAGCCTGATACCCAATGTAGGCTGTCTGTAATGATTTAGGATGCTGGGAGTTGCAGTCTAAGACATTTAGAGGGCATTCAACTGGGAAAGGCTGTTACGGAGACTTTTAGGGGATGGACAGCATCCTTCTCCACCTTTCCTAGTTTTTTGGCATGGACTTGATAATTGTGTATTCCTAGTCAACTCAACTTAGAACAAAGATGCCCTCAGATTACAAAGATTGCACAGCTAGTCTCCCAGACCTTCTCAGACAACATGCAAGCCCCTATTCTGCAATTTCCAGAGAATAGTCCTAAACCATGTATAGCTCTTTTCAGCCTCAACCCTAATCTCACTTTACCTCTTCAGGCCCTTTTTCAAAGACAGTGGCATTATTACACACAGGCTTTTGAGGACAGCAAAAGTTTTCCTATGGATATACTACAGTGGTTCCCAACCTTTGGTCCTCCAGTTGTTTTAGACTTCAACTTCCAGAAATCCTAGCCAGTTTGCCAGCTGTTAGGAATTGTAGGAGCTGAAGTCCAAAACACCTGGAGGACCAAAGGTTGGGAACTACTGATATACTATCACAGACATCAGGACAATTGTACTTTAAGATCCAGTGATTAACCAACCTACCTCATTTCTTAGGAGATGGTATTTTCACATAACTTTTAGAGAAGTGCTACTAATACATTTCAACAGTACCAAACATGAATCAATACAATCTTCCTCTTTTGACTAGATTTACTGGCTCAAACCTTAGTCACATCCCTTGCTTAGGCCTTGACCAGTACTTAACTCTGCCTTGTCCTGCTTATTCCATTGTGCCTGACTAAGCACTGAAGGCCGTTTTCAAGTCTTTAATGTTTTCCCTTTGCTCAGGCAGATGAATAATGTACTCTTCCTCATTCTTCTAGTAATAGATTACTTTGAGGCTCATCTGAGGCCCCCCACACACCACAAAAGCCAGTCTTCCACAAGACAACAAGAACAAAAAGCCACATCCCACATCATTTCAGTTACCATTCTGAGCACTCAAAATCACAGCACCATTTCCCTTGGCCTTTCTTCCTCCAAAGCACATACTTGCAATTTGGCTCAACTAAAGGGCACATACGTTGCAGCAAAGGATCTTGACTACAGAAGACCATATCCTGTAAATCATTTTTTCTTACACTATCAGACAGATATGGGGGTCCTACTATTTGCTTTTCCAAGTGCATGAGATATCAGTATCACATTTCTGTCCATTGGATACAATTGTTTTTGTAGCCAATGGGCACAAATATAAACCATCAGCTCCAAGTATCAGCAGTTAAATCACTGCCAGAAAATGGAGATGGGAAATGTGGGGCCCTCAAAATGTAACTGAATTAAAACTCCAACTACAGACAGTCCCTTGGTTACAGACAAAATAGGTTCTGTAGGTTTGTTGATAAGTTGGATTTGTATGTAAGTCAGAATAGATACTTTTTAAAGTGTGATTCCAACCATAGATAGATATAAAGATGGATGGATGGAAGGAAGGATGGATAGACAGATAGCAGTTTGTTTTGCTGTCTATGCCCCTATTAGGAAGATTTCATCTCACTTACTATCCCTGTGACAATTGTACTTTAAACATTTTGGTTTGTCATTGAAACAAGGATTGGTGAGAAATCTTCAGTGGAGACAACTTTTTCCCATGATAAGTCTTCAAGGAGTGAATTTCCCTTCCTAGGAGTAATTTCCTCTCACTTCCTGTTGTCTCACCCCCATATACATATGTATTTGTGTAACTCAAATGTCTGTAACTCGGGGAATGCCTCTGTCCCATTTGTCTGGGTATGCTAGAAGCCCAGCAACATTTGAGGGGCATCAAATTGGCTCATCCTTACCATAAAGTCTTACTAAGATTTTTAAACGAAGTATTATTACTTCAAAGCAAACAATACCTCATAATGTAGTTTGCCAGTTCAGTCAGCAAGCCCCAAAATCTATTTTCCCAATGTAAGCTCTGGAGATTATCAAGATCAAGGCACTGTAAAGTCACTTTGCACCAAATGTGAGGGAAGAGAAACAGCACGAAGCCACAACTTTGCTCTTCCTCCCCAAGGCCTACAGCAAAGCAAGACTCACTTGCCCACCTGATAGAGAATACAAGGGGGATGGGAGACTGATTCTGTCACTCCCCAATACAAAGCTTATCACACTAGCCAAGTTTTCTGCAAATTTCAGAGAATTCACTGAAACAGTGATCATTGCACTGGGCATCAAAGAGGAATGGGATGTCAGGGGTACTTTGATTGTATTTTCCTGCATGACAGGGGGTTGGACTAGATGGCCCATGTGGTCTCTTCCAACTCTATTATTCTATGTTTCTATGAAACAAGATAAGCAGAGAGATGTACTTTATTTTTCTCGTGTCAGGAGCAACTTGAGAAACTGCAAGTCGCTTCTGGTGTGAGAGAATGGGCCGTCTGCAAGGATATTGCCCAGGAGACGCCCGGATGTTTTGATGTTTTACCATCCTTGTGGAAGACTTCCACATGTTCCCACATGGGGAGCCGGAGCTGACAGGGGGAGCTCATCCGCACTCTCCCCGGATTCGAACCTCAGACCTGTCGGTCTTCAGTCCTGCCTGCATAAGGGTTTAACCCATTGCACTGCCCGGGTCACAGCCCCTGTTTGTACAATTTATGATCCACTTGTACAAGTCTGCCTCATAACATATTCATATACTGGTTGCAAATTAATGGAATTTTAGCAGACACCAACGCACATTCCAAACCAACTATATAAATCTAGATTGTGACATAAATTCTTGATCTTCATAAATGCAAAACATTGAAATTCAGCCTGAACCCTAGAGGAAGCTGTCTCTTTTAAATAACATTAAGTCATGTCCTCTCTCACACATTAAAAATGAGAATGGCATTCACGAAGACTGAATGGGCCACATAGGACAAATGACCTGCCTGCCACTCATAGACTAAACACACAAGACTTCAAACAAAGACTCTGAATACACTTTCTGTTATTGGGCCTATAAAAAGAAATGGGTTTGACAACAAAACAAAAAAAACCTCCAGTTGTAAATCTTCCAAGCATACAGAGGAAAACACTCTAAAAATCTCTTCACATTCGGCTTCAGGAACCCACTTTATTTTTTACTGTTGTGTGGGGGAAGCCCCTCTATTCCTATTTCAAGAAAGAGGTTCTTGAAAAAAAGGAGGTAAACTCTTTGGCGCTTCTCCCATCATTGCCAGCAAGCTCGCACATAATAGTAAACGCACTCATTGCTTTTCAGCATTTACCTAATTGGACTTTAATGTGCTGAGTGGTTAGTCCTTAATGAGATTTTACTTTTTATAAAGACTGGAAGTGAACGCAGAGAGGTGAAGAGAAAGGAGGAGGGACCATCACAAATGGAGAGAGAAAAATAGATGGTGACAACTTACAAAAAGGGAGGGCAGCTGCTGGAGAAGAGAAAGTCAGGATTATAGGGGCTCAGCTTCAAGCTCTGGCACTGATTCGAGGTCTGAATGACTTACCTCTCATCTGCTTTCTCCCTCCTTCAGTAAGAGAGAGACAAAACAAAATTTCTACAGAGGCAAAACATACTCTTAACACCTCCTGCATGACCAAGCATTTCAGTGGAATGATAATCTATCCGGTACTCAGCTTCTATGTTTTGTTTGTTTGCTGCTGCTGTAACTTGCAAAGAGGTGTTTTGTTTCACTTATGTTTATGTTTTATATGGAATATAGATTGCCTAATAAATGAACTGTATGAAGCAAATGTAAACACATAAGATGGGGGTGGGGGCATGCACAAAGCAATGAGAGAGAGACCTACAGAAGGAAACACAGAAGGTGTTTATCAATCTGCATTCACGAGAAGCATTTATCCCCTAGCTAAGCCACAAAAACTGGATCAGGAAATCCTTCTTGACACATCAACTGCATGATGACTCTGTGTTGTCACGGTACATTTTGAAGCGCAGGAGATGATCCTGCCAAAATAGCCATGTGCCCAAGGAAAATCCACAACCATGCCTCCAGGGCAGTCACATCCAGCCTTTGTATTATTCTTTACTGAAAGAAACCTAACACTTAGGTTGAAAAGATCACAAAAAAACATAGACATTCAACACAAAACACAAATAATATCCCACAATTGGGT